TCACTAAACTCATACTTTTAAGAGAAAATGGGAACTAATAATCCAACCTTTTAGCGGTCTTCTTTCAATAATCCCACTTTTTTATTATCCATGAATAATCCAACCTTTGCACCTCATCTTCATTCACTAGTCCCTGACCGGTTGATGACCTGCTATTCCAAGCTAAGCTATTTTCTTATTTTTGCAAATCATTATACCATAAATCTCATCTTTGACAAAGATAATATTTTGCAAAGATAAGAAAATAACTTGGAATAGCAGGTCATTAATCGATTAGGGACCAACGAATGAAGATGAGGTGCAAAGGTTGGATTATTCATGAATAATTAAAAGGTGAGATTATTGAAATTGCACGTGCTCAATTGTGTAATAGTCAGAAGAAATACGGTTGAATTTGTTTTTTTACTGAATTGTTGAAATAAGGAGGAACCTCTACTTTGTTCATCATTCGAAACTTTTATTATGCTTCATAAGTGAAAATCGGAATGATCTAGGGTTGGTTTGCAACTCCTTTTAAAAAAGCACTTCTCAACTTTTGACTTTAAAAAAGCACTTATTTTTCCAAACACTACAATTTTTATTTTTCTCGGCTTCCGCGTCAAAAGTGCTTTTACTTTTTCTATTACACAAAAAGCACTTATTTTACCAAACACTACCCACTTTTACTTTTCAAAATCACTTTTTTCTCAAACACTATCAACTTTTATTTAATCACTTCTTCCAATTTCATTAAAAAAAACACTTTTTTAAAAGCAGAAGTTGTTGCAAACAGACTCCTAGGCCTATAAAAACAAATGGATACACCTGAGAAATTGAGACACTATGATGCAATATAATAACTCACCCGAAAAGACGATTACCGAATTTGATGGTACCATGGATCACAGTCATGGCCCAATTACGGAATTATAGTTAAAGCCCATAAACGAGATTAGTCCTTAACGGGATCAAGTCCATAAACGGGATCAGCCATTAACGGGATCAAGCCCTTGACAGGATTAGCCCTTAACGGATCAAGCCCTTGACGGGATTCGCCCTTAACGGGATCAGCCCACAAGCGGGCGGGATTGATATTAATTAGCCAATGGGCCTAGTTAGGAATGAGACTCGCGAAAGGAACCCATAACCAGGCTGAGTTGGACAGCAGACCTCGAGCCTGGGCGGAATTCTAGTGAGGTCGGACTTTCCTTAGGGCTTACGTGGTAGGCTATCGTTCGCGCGTAGCTCTCTGGCAGCAGGCGGGAATAAACGGAAGAAACGTAGACCTAAAGGAGATAATCATTCCACAACGTCCATCCAAGGCGTTATAGGAGTCTATTTCGATTAATGAACATTTAATGTATCAGTTTCCTCCTAGAACACTAGTTCCTAAGGTCTATAAATACTTCATGTATATTTCCTATCGAAGGAACGAATTCCGGATTAATAATGCTGCCTTACGCTGTCTAAATTTCATTTGCTCTCATAGATATAGATCTGTAGTTGGATTAAACTCCATGAGAATTCATTTATTTTCATATTGACGAGGATACCATGTATTCGTTCCATGCATACGTACAATAGAATATTGTGTATGTATGTAAATGTTAATTTGGTGACATTACGTACAATAGAATATTGTGTGTGTATGTAAATGTTAATTTGGTGACATTATTATTGTTTAATCTCTTGAACGCTCACTTGTATGAGTTAGTTAATAGAAGTATATTTTTAAAGTTGTTTAGAGTTTTTATGGGAGTGTATAAACATATATAGTTGGGATTCTTAAAAAGAAATTTTAAGTAGAATTCTTTCGATTTATAATTAAAAGAGAAAATTAGCTCCCGTAAGACTAAAACTTCATACATTTCCCAATGTATGACCAAGTTCTTTTTATTCCTATTTTGATGCATCCACGCTATGCATGGTCATTTATTAACCAGAAATTGACTTATATAGGAGTAAAAACGTTTTGATTCCTAATAGGAGTATCATATTTTTTATTCCCTAAATAGGAGTAAATTTCTGCCAAGTTTGGCTTACAAGGCTTGTAAACATGACATTTTCTTCCAAACTTGGCAGATTACTCCTATTCAAGGAATAAAAAACATGATACTCCTATTTTGGAATTTCAAAACGTTTTTACTCCTATTTAGGGAATTCTCTCTTTATTAACCTTTTTCCTTGTTTTTTTTATTCCGCCTTTGCCCTCAAAACTGCAACGAATTAAGATCGCAAGTTTTATCTTATTTTCTCGGATGTGATAAACATGCACGTCTGCATTACGTAGTACGTAATTTATATGATAACCGTTTTCATCATTTTTATTTATATTTTCTGGAACGTCCTTTTCTTCCTTCCACGATCATCATTTTCGATCCGTTACTTTGTTCCCATTTAAAGATTATCCTTACTTCAGTAATTACTTCCCCTTATTTAAATTGTACGTAGCATTTGTTACCATATAGCCAGGAGTATATTGATATATGTACACTTTTCATTGGTACATAAAATTATTGCACACTTTTTAATGTCCAAATTTTATACCCCTTCGTATTAATGTCTTTTTAATGATTACACTGCCCATGACTAATCTTTATACTACTACATTTTTGAACCATTAATTTATTTTTTACTTTTGGTATGACAATATTTTGGAAAATTCTCAAAATAAGAGTAAAAATGTTTGAAAATTTTAAAATAAGGTTGTCGTATTTTTATTATCTAAATAGGAGTAATTACTGTCAAACTTGAAATATACTGTCAAGTTTAGAATCGGGTACTGCCATAACATGATAATAATTACTCATATTTAGAGAACAAAAACATAATACTATTATTTTAAAATACACAAAGTAGTCACAAACATGTTTAGTCGTCCTATTTAAAAAAATTACCCCTTTTCCATGTTCTTTAACTTCACTGCCCAACTAAAACTTTACTAAATCACTAAATTTACTGTCCGAAATTCCATCTTAAAATAATGCCGTAGTTTAATGCCCTCCGAGATTTCAAGTACTGAAGAGCAACTTACTGTTGTACTCAATTGCGTAGAAATTCGAACGTCGCCACATTCAGATTATCCCAGACCAAAAATGCTCCATTCAAACCGTCTCCTAAAAATACGCTACTTTCTGTCTTAAGAAAACTCCATTTTCTATTTAGTGGCCAAATTATTATAGAGGGCATCAAAGGAATTTACATCTGGGCATATTCAATGGAGCATGCCTTGTGATGCTTAATTAGTCATACGACACATGCGTGAGTTTTTTGGTCATATTTTGGGAAAACCTTTATCTTTTAATAATATCTACGTAAATTTCAAATATAAATATAGGCATAGTTGTTAAACGAAAAGAATAATACGTAGTACTACCTCCGTTCTTAAATAAATGCAACATGTTGAATTTGACACTATTCACATGTTCTACTTTGACTACATTTTATTTTTTAATGTATTAATATTTTTTATGGAAAAAATATTGTTAAATTTGTCTCATTGTAAATTTTCAAAATCCAATTTTTTAAATTTTTGTACTAATACAAAATTATATATATTAATGGTCAAAGTTGTGTCTCGACAAGTGTGCATGAAACGTTAACCATTGCATTTATAATACTATACATGTTCTAAGGCTAACAGCAATCCAACTCCGTCGTGTGCAGCCCCATATGGAGTCGACACTACAAAAAACACGCGTTTAGTCACGGACCGTAGTCACGGATTTGGTCCGTGACTAGTTTTGTCACGGACTAGTCACGGACTAGTCACGAATATTTAAAAAAAAATTAGTCACGGATCTGGCCGTGACTATGACCGTGACTAATGTTAGTCACGGTCCAATCCGTGACTAAAATGGTCCGATAGCTCCGATTCCGTTTTCGGCGAAGTTTATTTTATTCCGGTGACTTAGTCACGGACACATCCGTGACTATTAAAAAAATTAATTTTCCAACTCCTAGGAATTACTTCACAACGGTATTCTGTACCGATAAAGTAGTCACGGACATATCCGTGACTAATTCCGTCACTAAATTTAATAAAATTATTTGCGGTCGTCATTTGCACGTCACTTACACGGTTTGGACACGTAGTGTACACGGTTTTGCTTAGTGACGGACAAATCCGTGACTAAGTCCGTGACTATATTTTTTTTTATATCCAGGACCAACTCATTCAACAGAACCACACCAATTCATTCTCAGTACTATATAATACAGTATGTGTTTCAAATATCGAAGGATGTAGTCTATCTTATGTCATTTTCCCTGTTTATGCAGATAAGGTATGTTATTTGAATTATTACTTTTATTTAGAATTAGTTGGTTCAATTTAAATTATTAAAACTATTAAATTAGTGAGGTTATTAATTAATTAGCAACATATTTAACTATAAACGTAGTGATGTCATAAAATTAGTTAAGGTTTACAAAATAATTTAATTAAAATTAGTTAGCTAAACGTAGGTTTAAACGTAGTTATGTGTTAATTAAGTTAAATTAGTTAGCTAAACGTAGATTTAAACGTAATGATGCATTAAGTAAAATTAATTAATTAGTTAAACGTAGGTTTTAACTAATTAAGTTAGATTCGTTAAACGTTTCATAATATTAATTAAATTTAAATATTAGTTAATTGAAATGTGTTTAAAAAAAGGTTGTTAATTAATTAAGGAAATGAATTAGTTAAATTTAGTTAAACGTAGGTTTAATTTAAATGTAGTGTTAAATTACTTAAAATTTTTATAATATTAGTTAAATTTAAGTATTAGGTAATTACTTATATTTTGTGCATTATTATTGTGAAGAGTCTGCATTTTATTTAATTTAGTCAAAATAAGTTAATTGATTATTTAGTGAAATAAATTACTTAAAATTAGTTAAACGTAGTATTATTGTTACATTAATTACCTTAGTTTTGAACCTGTATAATTTTTTATTGTAATATTCAGGCATAATGTATAAACAAAATAGAAGTTGGATGTATGATAAAGATGCAGTATTGTACGGAATGCAATCAAATTTTCTCGATGGAGTCGGGGAATTTATTGAATTCGCACTTGAACATCCGGCTTATATGAGTGGTGATAAAATAAGATGTCCATGTTCAAAGTGTAAAAATCTCAAATTTAAAGACCCACACGAAGTTGGGTATGATTTGTACGCGGTCGGTTTTGTTCCCAATTATTATAATTGGACTTCTCACGGCGAACCTTTGGATCCATCTGTTATACCACAAACGGTAGGTTCGTCTCGTTACGTCCCTCCAGAGATGAGTGGGTGGGGAGACCGGGCTGAAATGAGGTGGGAACAAGAAATGGTATATGACGCATACGGTGTACCGATGTCTCAGTTCAACCCCTCACAACCATCTAACGACCCCTCTGAAGCCTCGACCTCGTATCAACCAGATGCGGATGAAAATCCGTCATTTTATCAACCTTATGTGGATGAAGGTTTGGCTGAGAGATTTCAGGATGTTCTAAAAGCTGCCGACCAACCTGTGTATGCTGATTGTGAGGGATACACTCAGCTATCCGCCGTTACAGAGTTTATGAACATAAAAGCCGAATACAGTCTCCCTGAAACTTGCACGAATAGAGTCTTGCAGTCAGCAGGAGGGATGCTACCGCGTGATCATACCCTTCCTGATTCATATTACCACATGAAGCAGTTAATGTCTAAGTTGGGGCTACCTTGTGTCGAAATTGATGCGTGCCCAAAAGGATGCATGTTGTTCTGGAAGGAGGATGAGACACTTGAGTTCTGCAAGTTCTGTGGTGGAAACAGATACAAAAATGTTCCTCAAAGTAAAAAGAAACTCCGACAAAGGTCGGCACTGTCTAAACTATATTACCTCCCAATAGCTCCTCGACTGCAGAGGATGTACGCTTCGACTGCTACTGCGAAACACATGACATGGCATGTTGAGCACGAAACTAATGAGAGTATGATGGCTCACCCTTCGGACTAAATCCGTGACTAACGCTGTGTTTTTTTGTAGTGCGATCACCGACGTCCACCCCGGTGACCGGCTCCCATACTCCGTCGTCCTTGGTGATCCATTAGGACTGTATATTTACTGCCCTGCCCTTCCCTGCCTCCACGAATCACACGAACACTTCAAAATTCAAATTGAATCACTAGTGCAGAAAACAGACGCAGATATGAAGTGAGGGAGGAATTAATGCTTTGTATCTGTTTCTTTGCTTTTATACGTAGTTAATTATGTAACAAATCTGGGCGTAATTATTTCATTAATAAAACTATAAAAGTACAAAGACACAGGTACAAACCCGGGACCGCTAAATTACGGGACGTGTTTTCAGGTTTAACAGGTGTTGTCAACCCTTTGAATGGAATGGAATTCCACACGGTCTTCTCAATTTAAACATGGTAGGAGTAATAATTTTTGACAACCCTTTGAATGGAATGGAATTCCACACGGTCTTCTCAATTTAAACATGGTAGGAGTAATAATTTTTAGAATGTTTTCTTTTGGACTGAAATTTGCTGGTCTGGTCTGAATTGATCTGGTCTGGTCTGGTAATCGTCTAGTTTCTGTGTATTTTATAACTAGGGAAGTCAAGTCTGGTCTGGTCTGGTCTGGTCTGATCTGGTCTGGTCTGGTCTGGGACTGAAAACAATCCAAAAGAAAACGTCTTTAGAAGTAGTACCATTTCCGTCTCCTTGAAAGATTTTCATGATAAAACTTCACGATTATTTAGATAATAATTGAATAAGATAATTCGAATATATTTTGAAAAATAATTTTATTAAGGATGTTTTTACTTGGACTGTAATTTGCTGGTCTGGTCTGGTCTGATCTGGTCTGGTCTGGTCTGAACTGGTCTGGTCTGGTCTGGTCTGGTCTGGTCTGGTTTCTTTGTATTTTTATAACTATCCAAGTCTGGTCTGGTCTGGTCTGGTCTGAACTGGTCTGGTCTGGTCTGGTCTGAACTGGTCTGGTCTGGTCTGGACTGGTCTGGTCTGGTCTGGTCTGGGACAAATTACAGTCCAAGTAAAAACATCCTAAGTATGTAATGTAATGGGATTAATATTGGTAATTGTGATGCTATAAATGTATTATTTTTAAAATTTAATGATTAAAGAGTCATTTAAGATTATTAATTGTTTTCTAAAATAGAAATGGGAATCTTTAAATGGGACGTCCAAAAAATCAAAGTGAAAACCTTTCTACGGGGCGAGGGAATAAATTTCATCTTAAGATAATGTTTAAAAGCAGTTCGCATCAGGAGTTCTTGATCAGAATCGCCATGCGGAGGCCACTGTTTGAGGCGGTTCTCAATGAAATTTTTTTATGATTTTTTTTTGAAAATGTTCTAATGAAATGTAGATTATTCTATAAAATTTGAGTTTAAAATACAATCGAAGAGTCAGATCAAATCTACATTGCTTTTCAATAATTTATTTGACTGAATTTTAGGCTGAAATTTTGTGGGCATAATCCAAAGACAATCTAAAGATGGTGATGAGTATTTTTCACAAAAATCCACTAAGAATGATCTTAAACGGCGACGCACAGTGCTTCTGGTCACGAGCTCTAGACAGTAATGAAACTCATTATCTAGTGTGTACATTTGATGAACAACTACATAGCACGGAGTATGTCTAAGAGATCAGATACGTAATCTTCCAAATATAGATATTTGGAACAGTTAATTTATCAAGTATATAAGGGAAAATAATGCAAATACCCCAAATTTTGAATGAATGTGAGGTAAATACCCCAAACTTGCATATATAATTTTAATACCCCAAACTTTACATAAAATATTTTTTAGCATCATGATTATATGTAAACTTATGGTGTTAATTGCAAAATTCAAATTTTTTTAGCATTTTTGAATATATAATTAACATTCTAAACTTTCATCGTGAATAAATAATATTACATACCCTCAGTCTATATAATTGCAACACTTAGTAATTGAAATATAAATATTTTAAATTATGCCATTTATACCATAATTTTTCATTTTTGAAAAAACAACATATGACCATGGTTCTAAAAACCTTTTTATGTAAAGTTTGGGGTACTTAAAATAAACATGCAAGTTTGAGGTGTTAACCTCACACTTCTCGAAAGTTTGGGTTATTTGAAGTATTTTTCCCAATATGTAAAGATTCAAAAATAAGTTAAATACATACGCACTCCGTGTATTTTCTATTGTGGGGGTGTTTGGTAGACGGCGTTTCAGTCAAAAAATGACAGTTTGACCACTTTCAGCGTTTTTAATAAGTGAAAAAGTTGTTTGAATTGGTAAATAGCGGTTCGTCACTAACGTTTTAGCGAAAACATACACTGAAATGAAAACGCTGCTAATAGTAGAAAAATGGCGTTTTCTACTAATTAGATGACCAAACAGCTAAATTTCCAAACATTTTCTAACAACTCGTCAATTTATTCTGCTAGTCAAACACGCTGACGAAATCCGTTATCGACAACCCGTTAACATAATCTGCTATCCGCTAGCCGCTGAATGCCAACCTTCTGTATCTATATGGGTCATTTTATGTCTCACCAACTAATTATAAAACATTAATAAATTAAATATTTTACTCCGATCCGTTAATGATTGTGATAGCTGAAAACAGACAAGTTGTCAATTTTGGGAAGCAAATCTTCTTGATGAAAAACTGAAAAATTTATTTGGGAAAACTGTCAAATAGGTCCTCGAACTTTCATAAAAAAGTCAAATAAGTCCTTATATAGGAGGCTCTGTCCGGCCGTCGCGATTTTGGGCGGTTCCCGGTGGAATTTTTTGATGAAAAATTTTGAGCATCTTTTTCATCAAGTATAGTTTACTCATACCAAATTTTAGCTAAAACTTCAATCGGGAACGCATTCAAATTAATTCTTGAAGATAATTGCGCATTTAACTGCACAGTTATCTTCAAGAATTAATTTGAATGTGTTCCCGATTGAAGTTTTAGCTGAAACTTGGTATAAGTAAACTAGACTTGATGAATAAGATGCTCAAAAATTTTCATCAAAAATTTCACCGGGAAACACCCCAAATCGCGACAGCCGGACAGAATCTCCTATATAAGGACTTATTTGACTTTTTTACGTATTTGAGAGATTTCCCAATTTATTTCTTACGTACTATCGTATTTATTACGGAGCATGAAAAAAGAGATCGGGTTTTGTAAGTTTTGTCGCACTCCACTAGCAGATCAACCGACACTACTACACATCAAACCTCTCCAATTTGCTTTTTTTACAAAGTTGGTTGCAGGGGCGGATGCACACTATTGATAAGGGGGCAGCTGCCCCCAATAAACTCTCCATAACTTCATAAAAATAACTAAATGCCCCCAGCCCCCAAGTATCTAATCCACCCAGCTCTTAAAATAAAATACTCCGTAACTCAATGGCCCCTATAAAATTACTCCGTAGACTTCAACTTTCGTTAACAGCTAAAACAGGGAATTCTAAATTGTGATTTAATATGAGTATTAACTCGCATTCTAAATTGTACTTCACCTCCTCAGCAATGCATAGTGCAGGTTACTCCGGTTTTATTTTAAGTCCATTAAGTACGGAGTATTAAATAATTAACTACGTAGCAGTTGAGTAATTAATTTAAGCATTTGATTATTGACTAGTATAGTACCAATGCACGGGAGGGAAAAAATTGATTTTTAAGGAGCTGATTCTTTACATGTATTTATTGTAGTTCTATAAAATAAAAGTAATGTAATGATGAACTTATTTAACATAATCAAATCTCTTATGAGATTTTGTGATTATTAAATGGGTCTAGGTGAACGTTTTTATTGGGAATTCATTAAAAAAATATCTTATTCAATTAAAAGTTGGTTTAACATGAATTAATTTGACTGATTTTTTTGATCTGATACAACAGATTTTTGTTGTGTGTTTAGTAACCTTGATTTTTTACATAGAATACTCTTCTTCATATTGTAATCTCCCCCAAAGTAGAAATAGAATTAAATAAAACAGGTCCAGAGGCGGCCCAGTAACTGCCTAAAAATAGGCTGATTTTTTATGAGGCCCAGCTGGCCGAAGGCACAAAGTTAACACCTACATTGCCACCTGGGCTCTCAGAGCTCTCTGGATAAACTCATCCACATCTAATCATATATCTGTCATGTGTCGAACGCCCCGGCACGTCGCCGAAGGCACAAAGCTAGCACCGCAGCACTCCACCTCTTACCCTTCGGCAGTTCAACCAAGCGGACCTTCTCAGTGTACACTTTCCAGCCTTCCGTAGTTCCCGTAATCCTCCCGTCCTTCTCTTATACGGAGTATTTATTTGTTCATTACCTGTTTTAATCTAAACTCCGTAGTTAATAATAAATATTTAGATAAATTAGTGATTTTCTTGTATGTTGAAACACAAGCCAACTCTGAAAAATAAATTTACTTGTGAATATTTACTCTCATAAAGCTACTTTTCAACCAAATAATAATAAAACAACATCCTGTGTGATTTAATATTTAAAAGGAAGGCCTATTTTCATTTAGCAAATTGGATCCTCGGAGCCGTATGAAGATACAGATTACGCAAATATCTCTTGATAAAAATGATAAAACGGTGCTACTTGTACTTCAAACATTCTTGGAGAATCTCAAGGGTAATTTACTTGTTAGCATTCACAGACCTTAAGGCTTAAAGACAATAGCATTACAATCTTTTTTATACGGAGTATATTACTTCCTCAGTCCCATTTATATTGTCTCGTTTTACCTTTTCGGGAAGTCCTACTTAAATTGTCACATACCATATTTGGCAAAGTTTGTGGGGCTCTAAATCATTCTTACTTTATTCTTACTTTATCAATTAATATCAATCACACAAACCCACTTTTCTTAATAATTGTGTCACCCTCTTCCGGGACAATATAAATGGGACGGACGTAGTATATATTACTAAAGGTGGTTTATTACCTTATCCCACTTTCATAAGGTAAGTATGCATTTTGTAGGTGTTGTGCTCTATTTATTCTTATCAAGTGGACGTATAGTAGCTGCACCTATTGAAGTGTACTGAGGAATTTCTATGCTAGGTGGCCGATCATTTTCTATGTAATGGACACTATTTAGTATTCATACGAACAACACTCTTATACCGACAGACCATTTATTTGCAATTAAGAAGTCTGGAGAAGTTCAAG